AAGAGAGAGTAGTAGAGGTGGCATTTGGGTCCCTGGTTCCATTTATTCCTTTGGTTGACCAACCTTTGTCACAGGTGAGGCTCTCCAAGAAACAGATGCTGAGATGGAGTTAGGAGTACAGAGAATTTATTGAAAGTGATTTATCTGTTTTGTCTGATTTGCCTTTCACCATAAAGTTGTCTGAGATTGATAATATAGTTTGCTAAATCTAGATAGAAATGATTGAGTAATGTTTATTCACTTTAGTAGTTAATCTAACCTCATCAGTGGTGATTAGTCAGGATACTAATGTATGAATGAATAGGCCAATTCTGTAGGGTTTTGGTGAGTCTGTGAGAGAGAGAGAGAGAGAGAGTGAGAGAGTGTGTGTATGTGTGTGTGTGTGTGTGTGTGTGTGTGTGTATACACATATACATAGAACATCCTCCCCCCTTCCAAGAAAGGGAAAAATGTAACTGAGAAATATAATTTAAGTAAATAAAATTAACCATATAAATCATAAAATAATATCTACAGTCCTAATTCTTATGCACCAATGAAAAATAATATATTTATTGATATTTTTATGCTGGAAAATAAACCTATCAGTTTAAAAATAATTTGCTTTCCCCAACTTTTTTAGTCATGCTGTGCCATATATAATGAGCCTACCCCATATCATTTACTGTTCTTAAATAAGAATGATGGATAATAGAAACTATGTACATATATAATTGAAAAACAAAGAATGGAAGGAAGGGAGGGAGGGAGAGAAAGGGTAGATTGGTGATGTTAGGTGTGTTGGGTAGGTTTGTTCTATTGGTTACTCAAGTACTGTCACCAGCGCTGCCATTAGAGATGTGGTTTTTTCAAAGTGCCAGCAACTCTTGCATAAGTTGTGGACCAAAACCAAAAGGTTTAATCATTTATTGATTTACATTTTGGATAAATCCACTGTATGTGGGACTCATTTAACATTTTTGTTGTTACAGTTATAAAATTGAATTATGTTATAAATTGAGATAATTGTAAATGGGTTTTTAATTTTATTGATTAAAAAAAACTTTTTTTTTTTTTTTTTGAGACAAGGTTTTTCTCTGTCACCCTGGCTAGAATGCAGTGGCGTGATCTCAGCTCACTATAACCTCCACCTCCTGGGCTCAAGCCATCATTCAGCCTCAGCCACCAGAGTAGCTGGGAGTACAGGCATTTGCCACCAGGCCCAGTTAATTTTTTTTTTTTAATTTTTGGTAGAGACAGGGTTTCACTATGTTTCCCAGCTGATCTTGACTCTTGAGCTCAAGTGACCTGCCCACCTCAGCCTCCCAAATTGCTGGGACAGGCGGGAGCCACAGTGCTTGACCTAAATGGGCTTTTTAAATTCTCATAGTATCTGTAAGACATTTGAAAGACATGCAGAATACAAGACAATTTCTTTGTGTGTGTGTGGAGAACTGTCATGTGCTGTGTAGGATGCTTAGCACTCTCTGTCCTATTTCATTAAATTGCAGTGGTATCTTTTATTCTTGTGACAAGGAAACACTCTCACAAATTTCAAAATACCATACAAAGCTTTCTCTTGCCCACATTGAGAACTAATGTTGGAGGTAGAAACATAAGCAGAGATTATTTCTACCTTCACGTAACTTCTGGTTTAGCCAGAAGACAAACATACAAAATAAGTATTATAAGACAGTGTTACTGCTATGATCCTAGAGCATGAAAGAATACCTAACCCTGCTTGGGGAAATCAGGGAATGCTTCATGGAAGAGGTAGTATAATATAAAAGAGCAGGTAGACAAATGGGAAAGGTGACACATAGTGTAAATAGTATCTACAAATGTATGAGGAACCTTGAAAATATTTTTGTTTGGCCGCAGCATAGAGTAGATAGGAGAGAACAGCAGGAAATATGAAATAGACAGGACTAGATTTTGTTCAGTAACTTGTATGCTATGTTAGTAGACTTTAATTACATTCTAGAAACTGGAAAGCCTTTGAAGGGTTTTGAACAAGAGAGTAACATGAATAGTTACATACTTCAGAAAGTCATACCAGGCCCAGAATGAAGGATAGGTTGTATGTCAGTCTGTAAGCAAGAAGACCAGTTAGGAAGGATTAGCAAAGTTTGAAGGTGAGATGATAAGTACCTGATCTAGGACAGTGGTAGTTGCAGTGGAAATATAAGGGAGAGGACAGATATATTGGTGTCTTTGAGGAATGGGGAGGTGTCGTAAGTTTCTTTTGCAACCAGAGTAGTTGCCATTCACACATGGATGGGAATTTTAAACAGCACAAGTATGGTGGTAACTAAGGCAGCTGGAGGGATTGGATTGTCAGGAATGGGGGGGATGTGATTAATAAACTTATTTTTAAATATCTTGAGTTTGAGATGCTTGTGGGTCATTCAGGAAGAACTCTTCAGAAGACGCTTGATTATAGGGATACAGAGCTTAAGAGAAAGACTTAGAGCATGGCATGTTGTATTGACTACTCAGGACAGGGTTCCAGTACTGTTTCTGGTAATGGCAGAGCTGTTTGTATTGGACTACCTCTTGCACATTACAAACTCAATATAAAATATTTTTTTAAAACTTAGCTATTTGAAGATATTGATGAGTGACAAAAAGCAGGAAGAAACTGGAGGGACACTTTAAAAAGAGAACTACAGAGTGGCATTTCTGTTTGTGCTTTTTAACTGAGGGAACTCCCTTCTCTGTAGGACTTGTCACAGCTAAAATGTAAGCAGGAAGCTATAATCTTAGTGATTTGAGATTTCAGTATTCTTTGAATAATGAGAATTTTAGTACTCCTAAATAGGATAAACGTAAGCCATTTTCTTTATCATTTATTTGGATTCTGGCATTTAATTTAGAACAGAATTAATCTTTAACAAAGCTGTAGATAATATAATCCCATTCTTGAATGTGTGAGAGTATGAGAGGGAGGTTTATACATTAGGCATATAGAAGAATACTCTCTGAAATGATATAATCTCTGGCTGCTCATTATGTTTTTTTTTTTTTAACTTTATATTTTTGTAATTGAGAATTCTCTTTTACAGTGAATATATATTGTTTTTGGAATTGAATAAGACATCATCTATTTTGAGAGAAAGAAACCTGTTTAGCAGTGGGACCTAATAATTTGATTTACCTTTAGAACTTAATGACTTGTTGCAGCATTCTTATTAATGAAATATTAAAAACTTGATATTTTGCTTCAGGAAAATGGGACCAATACTGCTGATCATGTTCGAAATTCCAGTTGGGCAAAAAATGGCTCCTTCCAAGGTGCTCTTCATAAAGCCTCTGATGAAGCCACAGAACAAAACATACAAGCTGGTACCCAGGCAGTTTTGCAGGTGGATAATTTTGTGGTTTTTTAAAAAATAAAATAATCATTAAATATTTCAAATATTTAAGTTCAGTATTTCAGTATACAGTGTACTTTTCGCAATATAATAGATTCACCACTTTTGTCATTATTCTGTATTTTTATTTTTTCTTAATTTTAATCACTTTATATATTAATAAATGTTACATATTCTGGAGAATTTTAAATTTTATATAAATTATGTCATGGCATACTGTCATTTGCAACTGATTTTTTTTTCACTAGCCATTCTGTTTTTGAGTTTTGTTGTTACTGTACAGCCGTAATTCATTTTAACTACTTTGTGGTATTGTACTTTATTTCAAATTTTACTTATTCATTTTTCTGTCGATGGCCTTTTGTTTCCAGTTTTTCACTATTCCAGATAGTACTACAGTGAACTTTTTTTTTTTGAGGCAGAGTTTCGCCCTTGCTGCCCAGGCTGGAGTGCAATGGTGCGATCTTGGCCCACTGCAACCCCTGCCTCTCAAGTTCGAGCGATTCTCCTGCCTTGGCCTCTCAAGAACGTGGGATTACAGGGACCCGCCACCACACCCAGCTAATTTTTTTATATTTTATTTTTAGTAGAGACAGGGTTTCACTATATTGGCCAGGCTGGTCTCAAACTCTTGACCTCAGGTGATCCACCCACCTTGGCCTCCCAAAGTGCAGGTGTGAACCATCATACCCAGCTGTGGACTTTCTTAAACATGTATTTTTATAGACATCTGAGAAAATTTCCCTAGGGTATACACCAAAAGTGGAATTACTGAGATGTAGGATTTGTACATTAATAACTTTACTATTATCACCCAATTGTTCTCCAATTTGTCAGCATAATTTACATTCCCTCTAGTAGTGTTTGGGAGTTCTCATTTCCTTATATTCTCCCCCGTTAACTGTATTGTCAGATTTTAATTTTTTGCTGGTCCTTTGTATGTGAAATGTCTCATTTTTAAAAAAAAGTTTGTATTTTTCCATTTTAATTTGCTTTTCCTTCGTCAGTACTGAATTTGAGCATCTTTTCTTATATATGAATTAATATGCTTTTCCATTATTCTATTGGGTGTTGATCTTTCTCTGAGTGGTTTGTAGGAGTTCATTATATTCATTCACTTTTTAAATTTTTTTTGAGATGTAGTCCTCACTCTGTCACCCAGGCTAGAGTTCAGTGGTACAATCTCAGCTCACTGCAACCTCCGCCTCCCAGGTTCAAGCAATTCACCTGCCTCAGCCTCCAAAGTAGCTGGGATTACAGACACGTGACACCATGTCTGGCTAATTTTTGTATTTTTAGTTGATATGGGGTTTCACCACGTTGGCCTTGAACTCCTGACCTCAGGTGATCCACCTTCTTCAGCCTCCCAAAGTGCTGGGATTATAGGTGTGAGCCACTGCGCCTGGCCAATCATTCACTTTTTAAATCAAATTGTCCTTCTCAAGGCCACATGTGACCTCTACATTGTTAAATCAGAAGTACATTTTTCAGTGCTAATTCTTGATTTATCAGAACCATTGTTAAAGCAGATTTACATTTTTCGGTGCTAATCCTGCTTAATTTATCAGAAATGTTTACCAAGTAGATCATTTCCTCCCCATTGAAATGCTTCTTTGCCTGACCTCCAGAATACCATCTCCTCCTGTTTCTTCCCACTTCATTGTCCACTTCTCAAACCAGATTCTTTTCACTGATTTTTCTGTAAAGCCCTGACCTCTTCATGTTGAAAAGCCCAGGAATCAGTTCTTGAATCTCTTATTCTCTTATCTCATCCATCCCCATGGCTTTAAATATCATCTATACGCTACAGCTTCAGATTTTTATCTGTAGTCTAGGACCTCTCATCTGAACTCTGAATCCTTAACTAAAATATTCAAATATCAAGTTGTCATTTTCACTTGGATATCTAATAAATATCTCAAATTTGAATGTTCTTTCTGCATTCTTTCTTGTATCATTTATTGGCAACTCTGTTTTTCAGTTTACCTTAACATCTGTCTAATTTGATGACAAATTCTGTCAGCTCTCCCTTCAAAATAAGTATGGAATCGGACCACTGCTCAGCACTCACACTGCCCCTTGTGTCAAAGTCCTATAATCTTTCATCTGTAGTATTGTAGTAACTTTCTAATTAGTTTCCCTGCTTCTTCTCTGCCCACTATCACTCTGGTTTGGCCAGAGGGATTCTGTAAAATGTAAATCAGGTTATGTCATCTGCTCAGAACCCTCCAGAGGCTTTCCATTATCACTACGCAGCAATATGAAAGTCTTTATAGTGGCCTATAAGGCTTTACATTGCTCCTCAGAATGTGGTCAATAGAATAGGGCTGACCCACAGCATAACTGGAAAACAGAGTAAAAGTTTAGAAAGGAAATGTTTAGTATCTCTTGATTCTGTTAAAACATTTACATTTAAATTTTGTCGTACTCTTTTTCCATTTCCTTTTTTCTATTTATTTTTTCCCCAGTTGATAGTCTTTATCTTTATTTTTTATTCTTCCATAGGTTATTGGGGTGCCACTGGTATTTGGTTACGTAAGTTCTTTAGCAGTGATTTTTGAGATTTTGCTGCACCCATCACCTGAGCAGTATACACTGCACCCTATTTGTAGTCTTTTATTCCTTGCCCTCCTCTCGCCATTCCCCCAAGTCCCCAAAGTCCATTGTATCATTCTTATGCCTTTGTGTCCTTATGGCTTAGCTCTCACATGTCAGTGAGAACATACGATGTTTGGTTTTCCATTTTTGAGTTGCTTCACATAGAATAATAGTCTCCAGTCTCATTCAGGTTGCTGCAAATGCCATTAATTTATTTCTTTTTATGACTAAATAGTATTCCATTGTGTATATATACCACAGTTTCTTTATCTACTCGTTGATTGATGGGCATTTGGGTTGGTTCCACAATTTTGCAGTTGTGAGTTGTGCTGCTATAAACGTGTGTGCAAGTATCTTTTTCATATAATGACTTACTTTCCTCTGGTTAGATACCCAGTAGTGGGATTGCTAGATCAAATGGTAGTTCTACTTTTAGTTCTTCAAGGATTCTCCACACTGTTTTCCATAGTGGCTGTAATAGTTTACATTTCTACCAGCAGTGTAGAAGTGTTCCCTGATCACCACATCCATGCCAACATCTATTGTTTTTCGATTTTTTTATTATGGCCATTCTTACCCAAGTAAGGTGGTATTGCATTGTGGTTTTGATTTGCATTTCCCTGATCATTAATGATGTTGAGCATTGTTTTCATATGATTGTTTGCAATTTGTACATCTTCTTTTGAGAATTATCTATTCATGGCCTCAGTCCACTGTTTGATGGCATCGTTCGTTTTTTTCTTACTGATTTGTTTGAGTTCGTTGTAGATTCTGGATATTAGTCCTTTGTCAGATGTATAGATTGTGAAGATTTTCTCCCATTCTGTGGGTTGTCTGTTTACTCTGCTGTTACTTTTGCTGTGTAAAAGCTCTTTAGTTATAATTAAGTTCCAGCTATTTATCTTTGTTTTTATTGCATTTGCTTTTGGGTTCTTGGTTATGAAATCCTTGCCTAAGCCAATGTCCAGAAGGGTTTTTCCAATCTTGTCTTCTAGAATTTTTATAGTTTCAGGTCTTAGATTTAAGTCTTTTTCATTTGTGTGTGTCATCTATGATTTATTTCAGTAGTGTTTTGTAGCTTTCCTTGTAGAGGTCTTTTGCCTCCTTGATTAGGTATGTTTCTAAGTATTTTATTTTTTGCAGTTATAATAAAAGGGGTGAGTTCTTGATTTGATTCTCCACTTGGTTGCTGTTGGTGTATCTCCTGTTTCGTTTCTTAATGAGCTTATTTGGATTTTCTCTCTTCTTTTCTTGATTAATCTTTCTAATGGTCTATCCATTTTATTTATCTTTTCAAAGAATCAGCTTTTTGTTTCATTTATCTTTTGTATTTTTTGTTTGTTTAATTTAGTTCTGCTCTGATCTTGGTTATTTCCTTTCTTCTGCTGGTTTTGGGTTTGGTTTGTTCTTGTTTCTCTAGTTCCGTGAGGTGTGACTTTAGAATGTCATATTGTGCTCTTTCAGTCTTTTTGATGTAGGTGTTTAGGGCTATGACCTTTCCTCTCAGCACTGCCTTTGCTGTATCCCAGAGGTTTTGATAGGTTATGTCATTATTGTTGTTCAGTTCTATTATATTATTGTGTTGCTATCTCATTTCTTAGTTCAATTAGTGATTTTTTTTTTTTTTTTTT